GTAGAATCAAACACAAAATAATTAAACAATCTATTTTTCAAAAACAATGTATATCACAATGAAAAATTTCAACTTAAACATGTACACAAAACATATATAGTAAATTAAATATTAACTTAATGCAAAAATATATAAACAAATAATAGTATAATTAAATATTTAAAGCTAAAAAAATACCTTAAGGAAGGGACGACGGCTTGGCGACGGAGGCAGGGTGAGGTGGTCGTCGACGTTGTCGCCGTTCCCTTGGAGACAGCGACACTTACAACGGCGAACGTCGAGGTGAGGTGGACGAAGGCGGCGCAATTAGACCAGATTTGGGGGCGACATGGGAAAGGCGACAGCGTGGTGTGGAGTTGAAGACGACGGAGAGCACGACGAAGAGCACGACGAAGACGAAGAACGGAATTGGAGGTTTTTTTTTCAAAAACGCGAAGGATAAGGTAGGGTTGGCTAATTTTATCACACTCTTTTGGATCGGTTATTACTAATAACCGATTCAAAAGGTATTTAAATCGGTTATCCGTAATAACCGATCCAAAAGATGGTCAGCTTTTAAATCGGTTATTCGTGATAACCGATTCAAATACTTTTTGCATCGGTTATTACGGATAACCGATCCAAAAGCTAAGCGATACGCGAATTTTTTTTTTGCATTTACATCGTTTGTTTAGCTTAAAGATGCAAATGAGGCGATTTATTTGGTCATTTTTGTACTAGTGATTCCTCGCTCACATTTATGTTTAAGAGGGTAGGGACAATAATACTTATTAAAATCATCCTCAAAATTAATATAAAATGATTTCCACTAAATAAGGGAACAGTTCATGAGCAACTGTAGTAGATAAAAGAAAAGGTAATTTATTGACATTGTGAAAATTCTCTGAAATATGAGATTCTACTATAATATTGTGAGCTTGTAAAAATCGTGAGAAGAAATATCAATTATGCACTACATCATGTAAGCAATTGTTATTTATTGAGCATTATTGAGGGAAAATTTTTCAATATAAGGTATCATTTATGTAATTATCGCTTAATAAGAATT